AAAATCTTGAAGTCTATATGAAATTGGAGGTAGTTTGAGGATTAAATTTTTTATGTTTTTTAAGCTCAAAAAAGGGTGGGGGCGGTCATATTATACATGAAATCATATTATACATGAGATCGTATTAAACATGAGATCATATTATACATGAGATCGTATTATACACGAATAAATACAGTAATAAAAATAATTTTTGTGCTGTCACCAGCTGAAGACACCTTCCTGTCCGCCATCATCAACTACACCAACAGCTCCACGGTCCACTTCAAGCTGTCGCCCACTTACGTCCTGTACATGGCCTGCCGCTACGTCCTGTCGCCAGCCTACCGTCCCGACATGTCTCCGTCAGAGAGGACGCACAAAGTCATCGCCATCATCAACAAGATGGTGACCATGATGGAAGGAGTCATCCAGGTGAGATATTCCCCTCATGAAACTGTTATCACCAGTGTTTTCTGCTCCTTTTAGTTTGGCCCCTTTTCTCCATGGTTCCTGTTTGTAGCCAGAACACAGGTGTTCTTCAGTGTTCCTGCATTAACTGGACTCTTACTAACTACATTTGTAGTTGTAAGGTGTGTTTGCACGCGTTTGCCTCCTGCAGCTTCTCTCACATGTCCTGTGTTGCTGTAGTTTTGTGTGTTACCCATCAGTGTTCGATCAACGTGATTTCAAATATGAAGCTGTCGCTAAAAACATCAGGCTTTTATAAAGCCCCGCAGACATAAAACTGTAAGCATTGGTCTGATTGTGGTATTTACTTTTATTTAACACACAATAATCTTTGCCTTTGGCCTTTAGAGATGCACTCTGAGGTTTAAGACCATCTATTTTAGTCTGAGTGAACTTTAGGGTTCCCAACCTGTTTTCCTTAAAGCTCCCACTTATCTCTATTAAAATAATAAAATGAATAATTTCAAACTCTTATTTGGAAAATAAAAAATGTAGTGTTTTAATTATTTAAATGGACTTGTTTTGGTGATTTTTATGTACAAACAATACATTTATATTTTAACAACCTCAGAGCAGACAAGATTATTTCTTTCTCCACCTCCCAGGTTGACCGGTAAAGAGAATATTTATTTTTGTCCCAATTAAAATGAGGATCAAACTAGTTTAAATGAAGTTTTAACATTCGTTTTGCTGGACGATTGATTTACTTTTTAAAATTTTATTTATTCATTTTATTTTAGTCATAAAAACAACAAAAGGTCCATTAAAAAAAACAAAGTAAATCAATTACTGAATGAAAAGCGTACATTAAAAAAATCTCATGTATGCATCTTATTAAAAAATAAATACAAAAACAACTTCAACTTGAACAGTCTCCATATTTGAGAAAATAAAGCCAAAAACAAAAGAAACTAGACATGGGTATTTACGATGTAAAAACAAGTGTGCATTGCCTTGTAGCATGTCATTGCCAGCAGCAATGGACTTGCAGAATGAACWGACCAAGTTCARATGTGTTTTCTGATCAAGTACCAGCTTTTGSCTGTCAGCAGGTTTTTGTAATGAGGGTAATTGTGTGAAAATWAGAAGTTTGAATAATCTTTTTGTCAAAGTTACTGTAGCTGGGATTTGAACCCTAATTTCCCACATGAAAGGCTATGGCATTAATCACAAGACCATTGGTGCTGGGAGAAAATACAATCCCAGTGTTTTTTTCTATGTGTATAGAAAGAGGCAACATTGCCAA